GTCTAGGGTTTGATTTCTATACGTTTATGTAAACCTAAAACGAACAAGGGGGACCCCATCACGCCACAACAAAACACCTATCCTAATAACTTTACCTTAGCTAATATTTCTCAAGCAACCATCCCCCGATAAGCAAAACCTGAATTCCATCATATAACGATATAGTTTGTTTTTATTTTGACTCCCAGGAAGTAGTGAGAAAAACACTGCTCACAGCTCAACATTCCTGAGTTGTGGATGTGTAGGTACCTGATGGTACCTGCTACGGCTGCGCGGAGGGCTCGGAATGGTTTGGAGGTCTGTGGCGGCCTGGTTGGAAGCTTGTCCTCAGACATGAATACAATGTATCCCTCTCCGCCCCTCCACACCCACCCACCTTTCCGTCAACAACACTGCAGCACAATCTCACCGCACTCAATCCTTCCCCTGCATTCCTCCCAATGCAATGCCACCACCCACCACCACCCACCACCACCCACCACCAAGCACCACCGCCAGCACTGTGGGCCTGGACAGCAATCGAACCGCGATTTTCGGCACGGCGCCGGGCATCCCCTATAGTGGAAAAACGCAGAGACGTCAAATTGAGGCCAAGCTGGCAGCGGGGAGGGAACCTTCAACAGGAAAGGAATCCAAACACGAAAACCACGCATGACACTGCAGCTACAACCACAGTAACCACAGCATCTGCAGCTGCCACCATGCAAGCAGCAACAGAGCAGCAGCGGGTGGGTGCGTGACTCCGTGACACTTCAACAGATGACTCGAGTTTGCCTGCTGAGGCCCTTCTTGTGGGACGAGCATTGGTGTGGATCTGAGTCTTGCAGCTCACACACAGGCCTTCTTTGGTATAATTACAACCTACCTGCAGTTAATGAACCGTGTTTTCAACTAACTGTTCCCAACCACTGCTTCCCGAAAGGCATTGCCGCGCTTTAAGCCTGCCACAACTTCTTTTTCCTAAGCCTGCCACAACTTCTTTTTCCTGCAAATCCCTTATCTATCTATCCTGCGCCGCCGCTGGCTTTTGTGCATGGCAGAAGTCCATGCCTTGCACGCCCGATGTTCTTGAGGGTTCGTGGCCGACGCTAACACCAGGGACTGAAGCGTCGGGTGTAGCATTGAGGGTGTGTAGTTAGGAGTCTTAAGTCAACCAAGATCCCAACAAGAAAGGACGCACAATCTCCCACTCCTCGCGCAAACCTCACAGCCAGACCTCACAACAACCTACAAAAGTGCATCTACCACCCTAACCCGTGGCACGTAATCAAATGGAACCAACGTCGACCTGCTCTTCACTTCGAACCCGTGGCTGCCCAATTGGACCGCCTGGAGGCTGATCGTTACAAACTTGGCTGCACATCGAACGGCAAAGCATATAATATGAGTGTCCTGCATGAGCGAATTCATGCTTCTCCTGCTGCTACACTGACATTTTGAGCCCAAGAAGCTTCAAGCAGAAGGGTTCTTCTAGAAGTTTCCCTCTTCACTAGGCCAGCCTGCACACTAGTTGAGAGCGACTCTGGGAACTTGACCCTCTCAAACCTTTGTTCCCTTTCTGAATGCGTCTCGAAGGCAACCACGTTTGACAAGCTCGGGGCGTGCAGCGCTTGTGCTTGTTAGGACCGTGTTCAGCTTGTTCATCCTCATCGGCTCTCCGGCTCTCCCCTCATCTGGCAGGTACTGCACGGATGCGTTCGAGCCTCAGCACTGCTGGCACGGGCACAGGTAGGCCGGCTTCGGCGATCTTTTCAGCTAGCAGGCTCTACGGATCTACGAGCACCTGTGCCGCAAAAGCTGCATTGAACATGTTTTGCATGGTGGAGAAGGGCATTCGACATTGCTTCGAGATGCGCGGGACCTCCGAATGTGTTCAGGCGAGGGCCTTCACGGAGTGCACAAGCGGCGTCTCTACGTGAGCTCTAAGCGTCTTGTGGCCATCTGTTGTGCTCAGAACACGTTCTCCTCACTGAGCAGCTGAGCGCACGCTGGCCTCCCTGGCCTTCCTCTCTGGAAGGCCAAGAAGGAAACACACATGCAAACGAGCCCACAGGAGTCCACAGGCTTCAGTTTGTCAAAGATCTTCAAAAGCAAGGGGCTTTGGAAGGGTATGTGGATCGCCACACACTGTAGCGAACACAACTTTCTGGAAGGATGGCTTCGGCTTCGGCGCACGCAGCACTGGCATGCTATGTGCCCTGGATCTGGTTGACGGCCTGCGATGCAATCCGGCCATCTTCTGCCAGCTGGCGGAACACCGTCCCAAACCGGGCAACTTCATCTCGCTCCATCACCGGGACAGCAGGCGCAGCAGCGGGTACAGCAAAAAACCAAGCAAGGCAACCTGGCGGCGAACGCTGGCAGCGCGACGCCCCAGGCAAAGCTACGCTACGCAGCTTTGGGATGTCTGTGTGGTGTGCAGCGCCAGTGCCCGCCTCCCCCGTCTAGACTCATCAAGAGCTGTCCGGTGAGGCGGCGCAGTCAAGTGGTGCAGAGAAGGGTGTCCGGAAAGGACAGCAGCTTTCTTACGATGCCATGACCTCATCCTGCCCATTCATGCCGGCACCAGATGCGCGGCACGAAGCAGCATGACATCTTGGAAGGACCTTGGTGAGGCCGTCTTTGCAAGCTCATGAATAATTACGACATTCTGTCGATCTTCACGGCCCTCAAGTTATTTGCATGGGCCGTTTATGATTATCAGCGGCCCTCAGAATAGTCTTGTTGGGGTGTGTCAGTTTGACAAAAACCCCAAACGCCCCTATCTCTTTTTTTGTTAGAAAGGCTTTTGGATAACATTAACAATTGAAAAACACAGTAGAACTTGAGATCTGGGCTACGAAAGCTAGACACAAGCCGGAGTAGCACGCGGCAAGCAGTGCAGTTTATGTCCTCGTCTATTTTGGAGCCATATATATAGCTTCTAATTCTGGAGTCTTAGTACGAAACGTCAAGAACTCGAGTTGGCGAAGAATGTCTGTCTGCTATCATAATGCCAGCAAATGCATGCTTCGAGCACATGTGCAAATGTTGCTCGATTGTTTGCAGCGGTCCAACAAGCACCGAAAAGCCTTCAACAGAAGGGCCTCAACGAGGGTGGGGGACCCACCTCCTTCCTAAGAGCAGTTGCGGCATGAACCTCCAGCACCTTTAAGGTGCCGGGCCGAAGTGCTCGCTCTGAATACCGTCGCTTCTTAGGCTGACTGTGTGACTCTTTCGCTGAGGATGAATGAAGGAATGAAAACAGCTACGGCAAGCCTTATGTCATCGAAAGATCATAGCAAGAAAGCGGTTGCAAAAGCAAAGGCTAAAAACAATAGGTCAATAGGAACCAACACTTGTTGCGATTTGTCATTTTGGAAGACAGCTTGCCCCAAAACTCTTGGGGGTTTAGGGCGTGGCTTGGGCTATAGGGTTTGTGACGGGGCCGAGGCTGGGGGTTTGGGCTTCAAGGTTATAGGGGTTGAGGTTTGGGGTTGAGGGATATATACAGTTTTGACTAGGGTTGGTTGTTTTTTGTTGAGGGTTCAGGGACTTAGGGTTGTGGTCTCTTGGGCTTACGGATGGAGATGTAGAGTTCAACGGTGGATTGGGGTTTAGGGTCTAAAGTGGGGTAATGCTTCGGGTTGATGATTACACCCCAAGCAACAAACCATAAACCTCAAACGCCAGACCCTAATTAAACCTTTCTTAGATGTACAAAGGGAAGGGGGGGGGGGGGGAGGGAACTTCAAAGATTGGGAATCAATTTTTAGGGGGGGGAGGGGATGGGGGTGGGGTCGGGCCCCCGCAGCCCATGAACTATTGGTTTTCAGACTAGTTGAGGCTCGGGTTCGGTTGTTGACCCACCCGAACTCTGGAGAGAAAGGTTGTAAACGACGACTCTCGCAAGCTGCAGGGAACTAGCTTTCAAACTTTAGAGCCAATGTTCTATACTCTCTTGTCAAAGGCCCCAAGAATCTGTTCAAAGTACTAACAAATCCAAGACACGTGAAAACAATTCATTTAACAAGGGTAGAATATGCCAGACTACTTGAACTTCAGCCCTCAGGCCAAAAATGGCTAGTGACATGCCTGTAGGCGCCGCTTTCTCACCAAAACCCGTCTGTGACAACCATAGGCGTTGCCAGATGCCGGAGGTGTGTGCGCTCCAATTCAGGAGTACACCATTCATCTTGGATCGCCATTTGGCAAATAACATGTCGCAGTTGTGGATTTCAATCGCTGACATTGTTATGTTCTTGTCCAGAAGTAATCCTTCTCCAAATCGATCCAGAGGCAAACATTCAAGTGCACCTTCTTGCAAAAAGGAGCTTCGAGAAGCTTCCGTTGGGACACCGCCCAGAACCGCACTTGCGAGCTAGCAAAACGGAATTGAGGGATGGGAATCCGTGATGCCTTGGCCCAACATAGCTGACGCATCCAAGCCCTTGCAATTTGAGACCTCCTCGTCTCGGTTGCCAGATACTACTTTACATCGGCCCATCCCTCCTAACGTCCATCCAAACTACCTGGGTACGAAGGACCCAAAGCCTGGATTGGATGTCGTTGGCATGCGCAATCTGTGGGGATTGCACAAGCCAATTAAACAGTTCGTTTGGATGCAACAGGACTCCAACAGGACATCCTATGACAGAATGATAGAGTGTCGAGGGCTGCACCAGACAACGGGCCAGGCTTTGCCTGTGCAGCCTTGCGCCGTCTTTTTAACTAACGACGGACGGAGTGCAATGCCTGGCAAGCCTACCACGACCGCCCGCTTGGCATGGGCATGGTTAAAGAAATTGTGCGGCCTACAGAATGGCACAGCAATGCCACAATGTACAGCCTTTCTAGTGCGCCCTAAGCTTTGCAACCCAAAGCCCGGCTGCGACTTGGCCGCAAGTCGAGCTTCACGGATGTTCCCGAACATCCTGAAACCTACTGGTGTCCTAGACGTCGACTCCGACGTCTGGGCTCTAGACATCTCTATAAACATATGGGACTTTACAATTGCCAGATCAGGGGATGATGTCACCTTCCAAGTCTGCGTTGATGTGGTCTTCGTGCTCTTCGTCCTCTTCCCCGCACCTTTCAACGAGGGGGTCGGGACTTGGTGGAGGATGTCTTGGCCTACGTAGCCTACTTGCTTAGCGTCAGGTGTCGACTATCTGATGCGATTTGAACGAGGCCACCTTCGCACGACGCAGCAACAAACCAACATGTACTTCCTATATCTTCCAGTGGTCATATGCGCAAGTATTCAATGATCATATTCATCAAACCAGCTCAAACAACTGGACCTGGACACTTCTGCACAATTCCTTTAGATTCTCCAGCTGTGCGGCTCCAGGCTCATGGCGGTGCCCTGCTGGACAACGGCCCCGACGCTAGCCATGACAACCAAGGAGTCTGAAGCACATGAAGCCTTTCGCAGTGCAGAGTGCGGAAAGCGGTGAAGCTGCGTGTGCTGCTAGCTAACCGCCCCCCCCCCCCCCCCCCCCCCCCCCCCCCCCCCCACACGCCCCCCCAAAGCTGTCATCCTTCAAAGGCAGACGATGGCTACGATGGCTACCCTGCGGCCCTGCGGTGTCTGTCTTTTTCGGTGGGAACTTCTAGTTGAGCCACCGCACTCGAACACTCAGGCCTTTACCAACTGCTCCAGTCAAATGCTCCTTCCATACTGCGTCTTGTGCTTAAAGTCACGCCTGGGCCTGCGTAGACATGAGACTTAGTGCTCGACAGCTTTGTTTCCCCCGAAGAGCCTTCTCCGGTTTGTCCTTCTCAATTGGACACAGGGCAGACACACCAGCGAGCAAGCTCCCAACTAACTCGAAGGTCGCGATGATGCCAGATACTTGGACAACGCATGCTGTTTCGGCTTCGCCTGGATGTGAGTCAAACCTATCTACACAAGGACTGTGCTGAGCAGCCTTCGCGATATTCATGAGGCCCTTCCCCGTAAAGAGAGAAATCAAGCCGACATCCAGCACGCAGGATGTAATCTCAGATTCGCGTTTTCGCTTGTCAGCGAGGTGATCCCGTATTCTCTTCTCCAAGTTAGTGTCCAGAACGCGTAGCGGGAGTAGCGGTGAAGGTGGCAGCTTTGACACGTGAGGGGCGCTCGAACTATTCGAACTGGTTGAACTGGCAGCAGACCAAGTATCATGATGCCCGTGCAAACGCCGGAAAGGAACGGCATCCTGCTCACGGCTAAGCAAATCGTGAAGTGCCCAGGACTGATTTCTCAGACTGCCGCACAGCAGCAAACACGAACATGCTCATAGCATACAAAGAAGAAGAAAGTTGAACTTGCCGGTGCTCTTGTCGCAACTCTGCTAACAAATAGCTAACACGGCATCAGAGCGAAATACAGTTGCAGCCAGTGGCCGCTACCGGATAGCTTCTTAACAGTTTTGCACAAATGCGCCACTGAAACAAATCCAACAATCGCACCTATGAGGCCTATCAGTCTCAGCGCCCAGTCCCTCCTTGTCACCAGCGTCGGTACAAGCGGCTTTGAAGCTTGAGAAAGCCGAGCCCAGAATGGCAAGTACAGACACAAAGGTGGAAGACGCCCCTGTGCAAAGTGCAGGTACCTGAGCTTGCTCGTGCGTGTGACGGTTCGACATGTAAGGCTCAAGATTCGGGAATTTCAAGCCTGCAAGAAGTATGAAAAAAGAACAGGGAGATACAGGACTGCTGGTCGAGCAGGTGGGGGCTAGTTGGGGGTGTTACGGACTTGCGGGCAATCGGGCCAACAGGCCTGGCTGCATTAAGGCTTGCAGCGCAATCGTGGGCTGCCCCGCTCGTAAACGATGCGAGGAAGCCCAAAGAGGCCACCAGCCTGGGCTGTTCATTCCTAGAACTGATAGCGGTCACCATAAAACTGCTTAAATTACATCATGTCCAGGGGATGTTGTCTTGACATTTCGTTTCAATGCAGCCCACCAGCCCCTGCACGGCCGAAGCGCAACTGCGCTTCTCGTCCTCACTGTCCTGAGGCCACTTGGGCAGCAAAATTGTAGCGGGTAGCAGGGTAGCAGGGGTAGCAGGGGCCTGGGCCGGCCCCTGCTCCCAAACCGCGGAGCAGCAAAGGCGTGGCAAAGCGGGCCTGCTGTTCCCCAAGCCGGCCAAACAAACACATGTTCCTGCGTTTGGGCCCTAAATTGGGGTTTGTAAAGGCTCAAACTTGACAAAGAAGAAGCCATTTCCCGCCAAGCCAGCAAAAAACTCCATGTTTTGGTCCTAGGTTCTGTGAGGGCCCAAAATCAAGCCCGCCAAACTACTGAAAGTCTTCATGTTTTCGTCCTAGTTTGAAGGCTGGCCAGGAAATGGCTCGCGAAATTCCTGCGTCTCGGTTCATCCAAAACCGAGTTTTGTATTTGGGGCGGTGAATGTGACGTCATCCAATGTTGGGTCTGGGCTTTGCATGTGAGACTTAAGCCCCAGCCTTCAGTTGCTCAGTGTGCACCATATTTGATACGGATTTTGCAGGTTAGAGATTCACAGGGCTCCGCCTGACATCTCCTTTCACCTCTGTGCATGGAGGAAATCGTCTGGTGAGGATGGTGGAATGTACTGATGTACTCGGTTTCGTCTGGGAGGGTGGCCTGGTTTTTGAGCTCTCCAATCCGCGACTTGGCCTATACAGAAAAAGTTGTCACCTTAGGACAAAATCATCTGATGAGGAGCGTGTTCAAGCTGTTTGTCCTCTGTCCTGTCTTTTCCATTGCTTCTACGACGATTCTACGAAGTCTGCTCTGATAAGCCGGGAAGTGGTCGATTCTGGCCCAGATGATTGCCCCAAAGCGGCTAGGCCAGGGACCAAACATTCCATTTGTTCGACAAGTATAGTTATAGCCAGTTCAGTTATAGCAGTGACCAGTATAGTGTCCTGCTTCACCTCTTGCATTTTGTTTTGTTGTTTACCAACAGTTGCGCCTTCGTGGCCCAGCACACAATTTGCGAAGACACTCTTCGACCGCCCAACCACCCAACTGCTGACAAGCTCCCCTTCTTCGTTCCAAAGGAACCTAGTGTCTGCTGCTACTGTATGCAACTAATAAAGCTAAACATGGCTCTACCGGTGCTCCGAAAGACCTCTCCTGTTTGTGGCATTTCTTCTGCGTGGAATAGAAGGCGCTTCCAGTCTTTCCCGCCGACAAGAGGACTCCATAGATGTCAAACGCGCAGTTCACCTGCACTGTGATGACACAAGTGGCTAACGGAGATCCCTGGCTCTCAATGCTCAGAAGAGTGGGACCACTTGTGCAAGCCCAGAACCGGAAGCCCCAAATGTGTCGTCCACGTGCTTTCAGGGTACCCCTATTAAGGCAGGAATCAAGCGGCTCGCCTTTTTGGTCACAGTCAAAGTACCTTGGTTTTTGGTTAGCCACGTGAAGTTGCAGCCCTAGCAAGTGTCACAGCTTCGCTGGAGCCTTAGGCATTAAACAAACCAGTGCTCCTCCACTTGCACAGCGACGGGGTGGTTGCTTTTCTTGTGCAGGTGCACACTCACGCTCTGATGCCCTTCACTGAGTTTGACGGCTCACAGCATGCATTGTATCACCGACAATCGGAAGCAAGCTCGTGTAATGCAATCCTCGTGCACGCCCCTGGTTCTCAAGGATGACACAGATAATTCTGACAAGACGGCTGTTCAATGGGCCCGCGTCGCGGAACTCACCAGCCGCCAGGTAAAGTGCTGCTGCCAGCACGCCGCAGCCGACTCTGACCATGCTGCCCTACACAGTTTTGCTCTCTGCTATTCAGTGTTGTCATCCGAAATTCGCTGTAGCGCATTTTTCTGTTCCTACTCTCCATGCCACCGCCCTGATGTTGCTCTAGAGGATAATATGGTGGCCGTGGTCCACTGCAAGCCTGAACATCAGAAGCAACCTTGCAAAAACGCGTGGCTTTGACGGTTCTTGTGCAGTCCCGTCTGATTTGGAGCTGCGCACTTTGGATCCTTTCGAATCGACACATTGCCACGAATTCTCGAAGCCCTACATCGACTTAGAAGGGGCTCAGTACAGCACATGTTGAAGCAACTGCATAGCAGCATAGTGCTGTCAGTCGAAGGCGAAGAGTTGTTCGGCGATCATTGGTTGTGCTCACAGGAACGCCCCAACAGCCTTTGACTTCAGATCTTACCATGCACCCACGCGTGCTCCGATGACAGAGGTTGCGTGGGAATTCTGTGTTTACGCACGGAGTTCTATGTCGAAAGAGGTCTATAGAAGTCTAGCCGTTGGGTTTAACACCGCGAAAGCCTCACAAGAGAGCATGTGTCTCGTTGACAAGCACTCGCTGTTTTCGTCGCCGTCTGCACTCGTGGGCTGTGCTTGTCCAGGCGTGACCTGGCAGAGTGGGGCTCTGCGGCATGGGATGGCATGGGAAGGAGGGAAATCTGCATCGAATGGAACTGCGGCAATGCTGTTCTGCAACATCCCCAAGCAGACGCTCGTTGAACTGTGCGGAAGTTTGTTTCCACCTCGTCCGACCGCAAAAACCCAGAAGCGCAATGTGACCAAGCCCACCACTGTCTCACACAAGCTCATTTCCTTTGCCCTTGGCAATTTTCTAATTTGCTAACTTTCTGTGAGTGAAATGGTTTCATCGTGAGAGTTGAGCCGTAGAGTAGAGCTGCAATTAAGGCATTAAGGCTTTAATCATTAAGGCATTTGTAAAGGTTGACGAGTTGGGTGTCAAACATCAATTCGAGGTTTGGGGATGTCGACAGCGGGCGACAGGTCCCGTCAAAGGCTGTTGGACATGACACATCGTGAAACAAAGCTAAAGAAAGGGTTGTTTCTTTAGGTGTTTCACGTACTTCACAATTGCTGATTCAGCATTTGGCGCTCAAGAAGCTGGAGGGGATGGCTCCACACGTGGTCACGCAAGGTGAAAAGTGAAGGTCTGCTCCAGGCAATGTGGCATGAAGCGGTGAGACCTCCAACTTAAGCAAACCTCTTCTACCCGAGCAAAACCGATCACAAAACCTCGGCAGAAGCCTGTGTGAGCCCATCTCATGTGGCCAAGCCGGTCAGGCCCATAGTGCGAATAGTGCGATAAACTAGATAACTTGCCCTGGAAACCTACACTTCTCGAGCATTCAAGCAACGAACAAACTCGACTTGAAAGTCGTTGGTCTCGGACCCCCTCCCCTGTCCTAACACCGATGGCACTCAAACGACAAGCATTGGTGCACTGGAAAACCGTACAAGGACCGAGAACCCAAAGAAACATCACGCGTCACCTCTGACTTCACACTCTCAGCACCCTAAGCCCAACACCTTAAGGCAATACCCCGCAGAACTTGGCAGCCTCGGGGTCTGACGACCAAGGCCTCAAGGCAGGCTGTTCAGGATTCTTTAAATGTTGGTTGTATTGTCCAGAAAGGGTTTGGATGAGTTGTCCAGCTCCACTGGCCTGATGAATGGTCGCCCTACATGCTCCCCAGGTTCCCTGTCTTCGCTGGTGTCACCAGTGTTTCGCATCCACAATGATATCCTACCCTGGAAGCATGTCGAAAAGGCATGAACTCTCTACATCTTGGCAAGTTGTCCCTATGAGGCTCGTGCCCTGTGTACGTCTCACTGAAGAGACCCCAAGCAGCAATGCCTCAAAAGCTGGAAAAAATGCTTCAACAAATGTATGCTGCATGCTTAGCACTTTGGGTTTGGCCTTGTGGACCGACGATGTCTGATGGCACGGCATGGATATTCAGGCTCTTGGGGGTCTTGGGTGTGGAGCTTACAGTGCACGCTGCTAATCCTGCTTTCCCTCACCTATGGACTCAAGCAAATGGGGCTTTGAGGCATCGGGGACTAGGATGTCCTGCAGGCATGGGGACATGAACAGCCACAAGCCCTTTGTTCAGCCGCAGGGACGACCATCCTCGCCGCCGGCAGCGAGAGCGCCTCGCTGGCGGTCGAAAGTGACGCAGAGGACCTTGATGTGTTTCGGCTGTTTCGGCTTGGGAAGAATTAAAGGTGTCATGGGAGCGGATTCCCTATGGATCTTGGAAAGTCGAACGTGATCTGCTAAGGCCGCGAAGAGCACTGTCCCAGCTGCGGCTTTCCCATTGATCGATCGTTCTGTGTTGAGCTTGAGCATAACACAGAAGTGTGGCCTTGCCGTAACGTCAAGAGAACAAAACATCTCCGGCAACGATGGTTTTATGTTATGTTGGACAGAAGCATCACTTCAGGAGAAACTTCTCTGGAAGATCTCCATAGTGATAGTAGTGCAAGCACTCTATTGGGTGGCTCTGCGCGGGTGTACTTTGCATTGTACCAGCGTGACGGAAAGACAGGCACATGCCAAGCCTCCAGCCTTCCTAAGTACCACTCCCACCATGATAAGAAAACCAATCCGACGAGAGCTTTGAACTCCCCGCCCTCGCATTGCTTCGTTTGGTTCACTGAGGTCTGTTGAAACACGGCTTGGCGTGTGGCCTTTCAGCACAAAGCTAGCTTCAACGCGGTTTGGATCCAGTGCTCCTCATTTTGCTTCCAGCGTGTCTGCCAGTTGTAGTGGGCTAGATCTGTGATCGTGTCGCGTTTCTGCGTCGCCCACAAGACTTGCATGGCAACTCCCTTCTTCGGGGCCTCTTCATATGCTGGGCGTCCCTACCAGTATCGCTATCACGATCTCGCCTCTGCCGAGCTCGCATGCTCTCCCAGCGGAAGCTCCTTCATCGCTGGAGACGATGGCCCGCAGCACTGTCCAGCCGTTGTGAAAGTCTCAATTACTTTCGACTGAGTGACTGAGTGTTGGGCTGTGGCTACTCGGCTGCTCCTTAAATGAGAGAGGGAAGCCAGGACCCGGCACAAAGGTCGGAACAAGATCCATTTCGGGGCTTGCGTGCTAAAGTGCGGCTTTGCTCTGTTGGCGCTCCCCTTGCTGTTGCTCCGTGAGCTTTCAGTCGTCAGTGCCAAGGAAACAGCTGCCCTCGAGCCGCCAAAGCTCCGGACGAATAGTCGGTGTCTCTTTCTATATCTCTTTCTTCATGTATGTTCTTTCTTTCTTTATCTTGTCACTTTTGTCTTTCTGTCTTTGTTTCCTCCTTTCGTCTTCTTCTTCTGCTGGGCCTAAGGGAGGAGACCCCCCGCAAAGCACGGATGCACGGCCGCCGTCCAAGGAGTGCCAAGGTCTGATGTGAGACTAGCCACTCAGCACAGACACATTGGCTTGTTTGCGTAGGTGGCTTCTCTGTAATTGCCATTGCGAGCATTTCACCCATATTACGAAAGGTTGGTGATTATAGCTACTGTTTTTTTAATTATTTCGTTCTTTTCTTTTCCTTTCCTATCTTTCCTCTTGTTCTCATTAATATTCTGTGCTACTTTCTCTTCTCTTCTTTTCTTGTCTTTTGTTTTCTGGGGGTGTAAGGGAGGCCTCTGTCTCTCTCTCTCTCTCTATATATATCTCTCTCTCTCTGCACGCAAGGCCCCCTCCCGAAGGAGAGAGCCGCCCCAAGGGGCGCGCGATGTCTATATATACATATATATCTCTCTCTCTCTCTCTCTCTCTCTCCTGTATGTATCTCTCTCTCTCTCTCTCTCGCTCTCTGCCTTTCTCTCTCTTATGGGGACTCAACATTCCACACTCAGGGCATGGCGCTGCCATCGTGACATGCTAGTCGCCCAAGGGATGTGGCAGTCCTTGGCTGCAATGCTCAAATTTCGGTGTGCCTTGTAGGCGTGAGGACTGAGGCTCGAGTGGGGCAACTAGTGGAAGCTTAGTGCCCACGCCTGCATGCCTGCCCTTGCTGTGCCATGCCCCAAGAAAGTTAGGCCGCCGTCGCGACAGAACCATTGCGTACCCAAATCTCGGACCTTCGTATCTGTTCTCAGTGGGCACGAAGGGGCTTGCAGAGAACTGCCGGTACCGCGTACTGAAACACCTGGACCTTCCCAGTCCCAAGTCTTCCCCGTGTTTCGCTCAAAGTCGAAGGGCAACCTAAGGCGCGAACTTCGCATCAAAGAGCTCGACTCGCCGATCCCAACCTCAATCCACAGAGGATGTCTGAAGCAGCTCTGGCGTAGGGCTTGTGGTTACTCTTCACAAAATAATGGATTTTGCTTAGCAGGCCGTGCTTAACCTGCAGCACAAAAATCCATTTGCAAAGGCTTACCCGTACCCACATGGCAAGGGCAGGGCTTCAAGAACAGCAAGTATGGGGGTGCACCCTTTCAGTACCGACATGTATGCCCATAACTATGAAGCTGACAGGTTTGTTGATGACCCTGAAGACAGGCCCAAAAGATTTAGGTGATCACGTCCTTCCTAGATCCAGCCACGATGTGGGCCACAGGCCACATGAGCTGTGATTGGCAAGAAGAGGATGGCAAACGACATGCACAGCACACAGGCTACTTCATAGAAATCGCGCGAACACCGACAAAAAACAACCACCCAGCCACAGGCTGTACGTAGCAAGAGCCTCTGGTCTGGACCCTCGACTCCCATCTCCTCTCCAACAGCTGCAGCATGACGCTATGGGACTCTAGGTTCAGTATGCCAGCGGATGCCAGCGGGTAATAATGGCCTTCACCCTAAACTTTCAACCCTCCCAGCTCCATCTGCAGGTCCCAACGGGCGGCGGCAACGAGGCGAAGGTCGGGCCTTTTGCGTACAAGGGCCGACTGGGCTTGTTTCCGTGGTGGCCGTGCGACATCCTGAGGTGGACTCCGAGTCTTCTTGCTTCCACAAAAACTTAACATCACACAACCTGCCGTGTGACCTGCAAGAAACCTCATGCATCTGTGCTGTCTGTTCTGTGGCAGTGGCCGGACGGCGAATGCGTTGACACCTTGCCTCAGATATATTGTAGGGCATCATGGCACTTTGAGCAGAGACACAAATTCAGGAAATGGCGCGGTCAAAAACAAACACAAAACATTTGGAAACTCCCCCCCCCCCCTGACCTCAGAGAAAGTGAGAGTGCCGGCCCAAGCTTTTTTGTGTTCTTGACAAGCCCAAACCCTCCCTGAGCCCTAAACACCCTGGCTAAACTTGGCTAGCTTTCTGACTTGTCTACGCCCGAAGACTATCTCATTCCTTTTTCCTGAAAATCCAACAGTGTGGTGTCTGACGGCGTCAATACTCATCGAAGGCCCGACCCAATTCAAGTGCCGGCCATGCAGCTTGTCCTCCTTGTACACTGGTTGGCCAGTTGACCTGGCCGAGTCACAAAAAACATCCTCTCTTCGCTTACGGCCAAAGCACAGAGGCTGCCACATCCCCCGTCTGTTCAGGGTGGGGACTGTGCGAAAATGCCCTGTGCATTTTCCCAGGTTCGGCCAAATTGCCCACAGGCTCTCCGTGTTCATGTCAGGATTAGGGTTGAGAAATTAGGCTACAACAAGGTGTCAGGATTCGGGAGATGGAAGAGCAACAAGGAGTCAAGATCGTTAGAAACGAAGAGTCCAAGCACGTCATGCATCCAGCTGGGCGTGTTTCTTGTAGACCCAAGATAGCCAACAAAAACCGAATGGCCCTTGAAACCCTGAAAATGCCCGCAAATATTGCCTCGAGTCACGTACGTACACTAGTGGGCATTTTCCCAGCAATGGGGGATGCTGCCACAAAGGATTCTTCACAACGGCAGCTTGTTTGCGAAGGCAACACGACTTCAGCATGATGCTTTGAATTCAAAAACTTGCAAGCCTGTGTCGTGCCACGAGTGTGAGACAAGGCCGAAAGAACCCATAAAGAAGCAAACGCCAAATTAACCTTGATGTCTGCAACACCGAAAGAGCACAATTCATTGTTTCCAAAAGTCAATTGCGTTTCCATTGCAGCAACTGACAGCCTCTAAACATGGCAAAGTAAGAGCAAGAAATGACAGAGTAAAAACACGCTGCCAAAATCACACTTACATCAGTTCATGCCCGTCAAGCAGTCAAGACGACCCACGCTGGAAGGAATGCAGTCTTCACCAACGAAAGCAGCCTAAGCCGAGTAAAGCTACAGCTCCTGATGTTGCTGAGCTTTGGAAGCAATGCGTCTTTGCATTGTGTCCGAAAAAACAGGCAACAACAGAACTGGCTTTGCTGAGTAGCTGGCTGTCTGTAGGGCGCGGGTGCCTGGTATCAGTATTCCGTGCTCAGACACGAGGTCTTATTGGCGAAGTGCAAATGTCAGGGTGAGGCACTTATGGCTTGATCGTAGGCCAGAGCTGCACTTTGTTGCCCACGAATTCCACACTCGCAGGTCATCATGGGTAAGGTGAAACTTAGCCTTGGCCAAGAAGTGGTACCTGAAGCGTTCCACCCCTGCATAGCCAGTCTTGTCACTAGTGCTCTTAGCACCCGAAGTGAGGTTTCAGAAAGCCATGAATCCATCAAGGCTGGGGTTGCAAGACGATCATCGGCTATATATTCTCTGGCAAGGGTTGCGCTGTCAGGAACCTCGTTTGACATCCGTTGGACGGATACCAGGTTTGACGATGTAGTTTTGGACGCACGACCCGATAGACCAGACATCAACCTCATCGACACCATCGAACCATTTCTTGACCACCTTAGCCTTCAGCGTTTATTCTGAATCCGAATGAAACCAACCCAAACTATTGACACATGCTGAGGCATCGAAGCCGCCCAAAGTCGCAACGCCTGACTCAAAACCTCAAAGACTTCAGACCCTCCTCTGCGGCTCCGACTGCTCTGACGCTTGAGCGTGTTGCTTCCAGCCCTGGCAAAACAAATTCGAGCTTTGATGATCGGATACTGCAGCTCTGTAAGGGAGTTGCATTTGAAGCACAGCCAAAGGACTTGGAGCTTCACACGATTCATAGGCTGTGTCGTACTGAACTGGCACAGGACGGGGGTTCGTCGTTGTCATGAAGCTACACGTGGCATGTTTCCAGTAGACCGAAGCTTTAGAGGTTGTCTCTAAGTTGTTTGCCCAGGTCCCTTCACACCATTGTGTCCTTTCCATACCGACGCGCATCCTCACGACCATTTTCAGAGTTCGTCTGCCCGCTTGATCTGCGTGTCATATTTGTCATTAGCCCAGCGGCGACAAAACGTGAAATCGTGCGGTTGCCAGGTCCTCCCTTCGAGGTAGAGCTGGGCAGTCTCGCGTGGAACCGACAGCAGCGCATTGTGAACAGTGGGGTGGTAGTAGATTGAGGAGATATTGAGAGACGACCACCATTTCCAGTCGACCTTATAAGGATCCAGTTCCTTCGTCAGCAAGGCGGAGAAGTAAGGCGAAGGGTAGTCCGGTGTATTGCAATTGATTATATAGCGTTTTCGAAAGCCCAGGTGTAACTGCCTGAAGTTCTCCAACTCATCCATCTGACTGCCTATGTTCTGCACGACTGCGCCATGAGGAGCCAGCATAGCCTGCAGACAGTAGGAAAATCCAACCTCTACCATTCGCCCGACTTATGACATCCACGCGCAAGCATCCGTTTTCAATGAGGCTGTAACCAGGCTGAGGTATCGTGTCAAGGCATGAGTCAAGTACAGTGGCTAGTTACAATGTGCATGCACAGGTTCCAGTAGGATTGCAAACTTTCTTCTCCTTGCTGCACAGTACCCTGTGCTTGGAATTGGAACCTAAGATCTGGTTATCGGCTCATCACTGGGCTAGCAATCTGCAAGGCATTCTCCAGTCATTGTTCAGACTGCTTATTCCAGCTCCGCACCCTATAAAATGCTTGACTTGAGTAGTGGTGGTTGGCCAGTCCAGGTAGAAGCAGCCTAATGCCCATCTCTAATTTAATTTGCATGGCCTTCACTCCAAGTTACATTCCCCCCCCCCCCCCCCACCCGTCCAAACAAAAAAAGATGTTGTTGGACCCCCAGTGAATAAGCCGTCTCTTCGCCGTGAGTCAGCCATGTCAGTGCTGCTTGCTTTGACTGTCTCCCACTCTTCTTCTACCCCCCCGAAAGGAGACACCAGCCACGACGGCCCGCTGCTCTGTCTCCCACTCTCTCTCTCACCCTTTCTCTCAGAGTCCACTGACCTACCACTTCCTTTCAGTTACAACAGCGGCTCCAGACCCCCTTCTTCCCCTCCAACCTGCTCTCCCTTCGATTCGCTCTCTCTTCACTTTCACTCGGGCAGGCAGTGTCCGTTGTAACTATTAAACAGGCATTTTGCCGGCTTGTAGCGAAATCCGGCAAAATGGGCCTGGTTTGGCAACGGGACAGACCCCAAGAGCCTCCACGGGTTCCGGAGCTTTCAAACATGCATAATGATCATAATGCATATACTTCAATCGCTTCTCATGATCGGTCTAATGCCCAAACGATTTAGGAGGGCTCCACATGATTAGGCCTTGAGGCGTATGCCTGTAGCAGGGGAGCTAGCAGCATCACTGGCACTGCTCTGCAGATGTGTTCTGACAGCTGTTGCCATCCATGGAACCTGTCTGCAAGGTTTCTGCTATGAACCAGAAGCCCAAGCCCACGTGGCACCCAGATGTCGTTCAGCTTGTGAACTGAGATCGTGAATGATGTTGTTGTATGCTTTAGTGTTCTTCACTTACAAACAACAAACATTGCTCATGGAAGTTTGGACGTCCTGCCTGAAGGTTCTGGTAAAACTTAATGGACCATTGGCTCCGCAGGGGGTCGTCCGTCGAGTCGATGATGCACAAGTCGAAGTGGCCTTTCTCATGGCGCTTCTCCTCGGCCCACTGGACCCCATCCATGATCACCAACTCCAGCCTGGAATCCTGAAGGCCAAGTTCGCAGTTGGGGCCGTCTTAGTCTAGGTGTTTTCGGTGTTTCCAAATCTCAGCTGATGACCCACATACCAGTACATGGAAAGCAATTATTGTGCTGTGCCTTCGGGATGATTTGAACATATTTTGAGGCAACTTCTTGGAGAATCTGTATAGGTCTGCAGCAAAGACTGCTCAAAGAGTGCTGATCCCACCCAGCCACAGGCCCACGCGCACGCGCACGCACACGCACACGCACACGCACACGCACACGCACACGCACACCCACACCCACACCACCACCACCACCACCACACACACACACACACACACTCGCGCGCGTTCTCAAGCACTCTGTATTAACACTGTGACGAACAGCATCACAATCGATCGCAAGCTGAATGCAGGACATTCCTTGGAAACTCATGGGAACATCCTTCGAGGCTTCACCTCTTACAGATTGAGTTGAGCGCCAGCGGCCTGATAGCTTGCCGCGATCTCAGGCAAGAATTGCTTCGAAACTTCTGGCACAGTTGCATCAATCTCAACCTGGAGGACGTGCTCCACCTGAGGGTACCTGGGAGCAGGGATCTGGATGATCTGGAACTGGGACCTTCCTTCCGATTCTCAGGTCATGGAGGGCTGGTGGATGTGCGCAGCCTCTTGCGGAAAGCTACGCCAATGGTTAGCGGTCAGTCCGTACCGGCGCGAAAGTCTGCAAAGGGGAGTGGCATTGGCAATTCTGTGGATAGCAGCCCCGAACCCACTTTGAGGTTCACGGCTAGTTGGTGAGTATATGGTGATTGGCAAGGGTGTCCTAATGAAGAAAAGAACCAAGGGTCCTTCGACTCCTGCACTCAGTTCACAACCCCTCAACTTGAACCCTTGAAGGCTTTCTCATTGCTCTCTATATATATATATATGTATGTATGTATACATTATCCATATTGAATCATATTGAGCAGGGTCCCAAGTGAGGCTTGCCTGAGCAACGCCGTCGCAACTCCCCCATCGCCAGCGCCCACCACAAGAATGCGTCCTTGTGTTTCAACAGGTAGCACTTGTTGTCACCATAACCTCTATGTCCATTCCAAGAGGTCTGCATTTTCTGGACAAAGTTTATTCCGGCTCCGAAACCGAAAAAGGTCGGCACACGTTGGACCATAGCACGGCGAGCACTCAAGACGTCGGGTAAGCGTAGGGCCTTCTACCGACTTCTACCTCCTGGCTCATTCTGTCTCTAGAACGCAGAGCTGTATTTGCTTCCACGTTGGCTGGGCCTTGCCTGGGTTAGGCTCGCAGGCCCCGGGCAGAGGTGTGGAGGAAGCCGCCAGTGGCCGAGGGGGTGGACGAACGTGGCGGAGAAACCCTTAATACCCAAACCTGAACCCCAATTGAGAAGTACACCTGTGCTCCAGCAAACGGCTCCGATAATGCATTTGCGTTGTGCGCACATGTTCACACGCACCTGTCTCAGGATTGTGGGCGTGGGCCCTCGTGATCACGAACGTGACTTGACTCAAACCTGAAACTGCTCGCGCTGGATGGAGGCAGGTAGCATCTATGGGACGTGTTTGCTTGAACGCGTTTTGTTTGAAGAAGGGCACATGATTGTAAGGTACATTGCTGACGCCGGGTCAGGTTGCCCGAGACAACAGCCCTTTGAGCATTGGCCCAAACCCTTTCAGAGAGGCATTGTGTGATTCAATGGACGGCTCCCTCCACGCTAAACTTGACTTCCATCCAGGCATCGTCCACGTGGTCCCAAGGCAGCCATGGCTGGATGAACCAGAGACTCGTGGTAGAAATCCTGGTGGTTTTTGTTTTGTGGGAATGGACAATCGGGTGCCATTTGGGGTTGCGGGGAGTCAACTCGCACATGGACAGAGAACACTTCAGAAAGGACAGTAGAAAGTTCAGGGACACCTCAAAACATCTTGGCATCAAGGAGGCGGTCGGCACGTACGAGCTATGTAGAATATCGGTAACGAATTTGCGCTAATTCTTACTAATGACAGCCGCAAGCCGGGATAGATGCACCGTTCGAACATGAAAAAGTACAGAATCAATCCTACTGAACCGCGGTGCCTCTCAACATTGTTAGCCCACCAACAAGTTGTAGTAAGAGATGGATGCAAGAAGAGTTTTGGGTAGAAGTAGAGCGCAGTTCTCTGAAATTGGGCCGTGTTTGGACTTGTTTGGGTGCGGCTCCTGATATGTAGGGCCCCCAACAGAACTTCGACATGCGGAACAGGGAGCCCTATTGGGATCCCCAGCTCCATTTTGCACATTGTAAAATATACATATATGCGCCGACCCCAGCGGCAGCGGGGCGGCGTCAGTGAAGACCCATAGTGTTTTCTTCACTTCTTACCGTCTCCCCTCACCGTCAAGCCCGATCCAACCTCCCTCCCTCGTTCCTGCCACCCCCTACCCCCTACCCCCACCCCCCCAACCCCCCTTTACCCCCTGCCCCCCTGCCCCCCAAGAGTCGATCACCTCTTCCTTCGGCGCCCGAAAGCCCTTTTCTAAGGCCCCTTGTTGCCTTCCTTTGAAGCCTCCCTAAAGCCCCCCCCATGAAGCTTCTCTTTGAAGCCCCCCCTAAGCCCCCTCAACCCCAGAGTCCTGAAATCTGTCATACAAGCACAGGTCCTCCAACCTTCTTTTCTCACCGGAATCCCCTCTCTTTAAGGTTCTCTCCCCTTAAGCCCTCCCTCCAAACTGTTCCTTTTGCACGTTTTCGCAGACTATGTTTGCAAACGGGGGGGGGGGGGGGAAGGCTGGGTCCCGAGAGGGGTCGCTTTGCGTTTTGGTCCTTTTTGACCTACCGGAAGGAATGATTCAACTTCGTTGCAGTCGTCTTTGGCGTTCCTAGTGCTTCTGAGATGCCCTAAACCCTGAGCCGAGGGGTGTGGGTTTACGGTGAGGTGCCGGAGGAGTTTTCTTGGCATGCAGCATGTTCACTTGGCATCGTCGTGCACTAGGTAGGAGCCAGGAGCGTTCCTCCGACGCCTCA